GGCGTCGCGATGCCAATTGATCGCAGTGGTTTTGGGTGTGCATAGGTTTGCGCAAAAATGTCAAAGTACTGCGCTTGTACTGTACTTCGTAAGTGTTGACTCGTTGATGCTGTGCACGGTTGAGGGTCTAAAACTACGGGGAACTATTGCGGGCTGATTTATTAGGATGAGAACCGATAGTTCTTCTGCGGCTTAGGAAGGTGCAGTCCACTGCATGCAGACGCCAGGAAGTGCTGTAGATTACAAGACTTCCTGCGCTTCTCAAATGTTCGGACTAGCCGCGTAAAGCGTTAAGGGTTCCTAAAAAACCATCGAAGCTAGTAACTAATTTCGGCGGGTTTTACGCATTGCCGACAAGCCCAGAAGCAGATGTTGGAGGTTTTGTAGGAAAGTCTTTGCAGAACAATGATGCGGGAAGGTTTTTGATGTTCATGTTGCGATGGAGTCACAATCTGAGGCTCTGGTATTTCTCCTTTGATGGCTCCCACAAGTTTGTCACGAATTTAAAGGGACCTGACCCTACCCCTTTACAATAAAGTTGCAGGGACCTAATCCCTTGTTTAAGGATGTAATGGTCCCTTCTTAGCGATTTTGCGTGGCCTAACCCCTGAGGGAGCTAAAAGGACCCCATCCCTTTTTCAAGGATTTAAGGGGACCCTACCCTTTTTTTGAAAAACTTAAATGGACTTTACGGCTTTTTGAAGTATTTACAAGGGACCTACTTTTTTGGCGGGATTGCAATTCCGTACTGTTTTTGGAATCCTTGAAAGGCAGCCACTTTCTTAGGATAGATTTAAAGGCACCTTTTTTCAGAGGTGTCTTGGGACCTGTGTCGGAGGGACTTAAATGGACCTCACCCTTTTTTGAGGGACTAGAAGGAGCCGTAATTACTCTTTTTGGAAATCTTTAGAGGGACCCACTTTTTGCTGAGGGATAGCAAAGGACCGTACTTTTTTCAAGACGTGAAAAGGACACCACGTCTCTTCAAAGATTCAAAAGGACCTTAAATTTTTCAGGAGTTCAAAAGGATTCTACCTTTTTGGGAAGGATTTCAAAGGACCCAATCTTTTCTGAGGGATTCAAAGGGACCGTACCCTTTTGTGAGCGATTCAAAAAGGGACCCTACTTCTTTTTCAGGATTTGAAAGGACCCACTCTTTGCTACGGGATTCAAAGGAACCGTAACCTTCAAAGCCTGCAGAACAGGCAACAATGCCGTGTCTGCTTGCCATGGCATTGCTAGGCACTGCTCTCTGCGCTCGGTCATCAGTACAGCTTCCAGTGAATAAAATGCATCCCCCACCCCCCAATCACCCCCCACCCCGCCCCCCCCCCCATCAAGAGAAGCATTTGTACCCACGATCGACTAAGGCGCTGCGGACGACGACTACGACTGCTACTACTACTACTACTACTACTACTACTGCTACTGTGCCTTTCTCTACAAATCCCGGTGCCTTGTCAGCTGCTGCCTTGTCTGCTGCCGCCTTGTCTGCCGCCGCCTTCTCTGCTGCTGCTTTCTCTGCTGCTGCTTTCTCTGCTGCTGCTTTCTCTGCTGCTGCTTTCTCTGCTGCTGCTTTTTCTGCTGCGGCCTTCTCCGCAGCTGCCTTCTCTGCAGCTGCCTTTTCTGCTGCAGCTTTCTGAGCAGCTGCCTTCTCCGCTGCTGCCGCTTTCTCTGCAGCTATCCTTGCGGCAGCTTCTTGCTCGGCCGCTTCCTTTGCTGCTGCTTCTGCAGCGGCCGCGGCAGCAGCGCCTTCAGCATCCGATGTGCTTTTCGCCTCAGACATGTGAGTGTTGGCAATCCTGAAAGCTTGAAGATACACTGTCTTGTTTATGCTTTTGGCTGAAGCTGTGAGACCGTAAGGCAACACCTCTCCCCAGTGCAGACGTCATAAACAATCTGCCGTGTTATGTTACGTTCTACTATACTATACTATACTATACCGTGTTCTATCATATTGCATTCTATCATATCATATTCTATTATATCATCTTGTATTCTACTGTATTTTCTTATATTATCTTAGATTCTAATATATGATCTTGTCTTATCGTATATTACATACTATCTTTATATGATCTTATATTATATTATATGATAGGGGATTTAAGGAGAATGAAAAGAAAATGGAAACTATTGCAGTATTCAGCCAGGCAGGTAACAATCTTGCATGCTTGCCACAACTGTGAAAATTTTGATGGTGGCGCTGTAGAAGCCTGAGTGGTTGCCAATACTACCCCTTTGCTATCCTTATATAGCTACATCATGGTAAACTTACCCCCAAATTCCATGCCATGTTGACCCCAACCCCTCAGCCCTAACCCTAAACCCTAAACCCTAAACGCCCTGAACCCTAAACCCCTCCCCCTACCTGATCACCTCCGAGAGTTCCGAGTGGGACCACAGTCACTGAACCAGACTCCCAGGCTCAGGGGTTTAGGGGTTTAGGGTTTGGGGTGTAGGGTTTAGGGGTTCAGGGATTAGGGTTTAAGTTCACCGCTTAGGCGTCTTGAGAGGATCTTAAAGTTTGATCCCCTATAAAAACCTGTAGCAATTGTATGTAAACCCCATATGACTCTTCATATGGTTCTACGAGATCTCAAAATTAGATCCTGGTAATCGAATTGTGCTATATTCAATGTGGAATAATAGATGGCATGGGATTCCTCAACTGGACCTCAACACGATGTTCGTCAGTATTCAGGCCCCCACGACAAGTGGTTACTCCTCCAACCATGCAAGACATAGATGAGGCAATGGCGGTTCTCACGGGTCTACGCTTGCCTCTGAAAGTCCCACGCGGGCCCCACACGAGTCCTATAGGCGCGCTCTCCCTTTGTTCGCGGGTTCATGTTTGTCCTGCGCATCCCGCGCATGTCCTGTGCGGGTCCTATTCAGGTTCTCAAAGTGTGATGTTGCTCTGCGTGGGATCGTTCTCTGCTTGCTGGGGTCCAAAACGCTGGCAGTAGGATAGACGTTGGCGTAGCACTGAGGGGTAACCAGATTTGTTTGGCCAACGTGCAGCTGATGCTTGACCATCATTTGTTGTGCTCGCATGCTTCGTATCCCGGCACGCATCGTAAGTTTTCACCGCTATGCGTAGCCGGACGGCAGAAGTATATAGCACCAGTAGCTATTAGAGCCGTAGGCCCAGGAGAGAATGGTGATTGGTAGTTAGTTAGCAGTAAGTAGTTCGCAGTTGGTACTTAGTATTGAGAACTTTGTGCTGGGTAGTTAGTAGTAAATAGTAGCTAGTTGTTGTTGGTGGAAGTCACTGCTTTAACGATGTTACCCCACGTAGAACAGAAACGTGTGGATATGCGTCTCCTGAAAATGGAGCTCAAAGTCCGCACGCCAGAATTGCACATTGTCGTTGTCAGACAGCGTAGCTTTCTTAAGCTTACTGTGGGCATACATCTTGCAGTTACTGCTAAAGTTGCTGTTGCTATGACTACAGCTACTGTAACTTCCAGTATTCAGAGGTCTGCATGCTCGTAATGTGTCGCGCCCTTCTCGAACTACACTAACAGCCAACAAGACATTCGTGCTGCTGTTGACCTGTAGATTGATTGATAACTTAACAGCCTCAGGCAATGTGACAGTACATCTCCAAAAGTTTCAAGAGATAAGTATAAGGGTTCTTCAACAACGAGGGGCCCATTTTGGGAGTTCTTATAACAAGGACTATAACATATTGGGCAGCCGTATTTATGGAACTCCCCACATATCCGCATCAGAGCAGCTGTCTTCCAGTCCCAGTCGCAGCGTCGGTCGCAATTGCCGCAGCTGAGCCTTGCAGGAGGAGGGCGATCATTTAGGTTGGGCCTCGTCAGGGTAAAGAGTTTAGGGCCTCACCCAGCACTACCAGCATATTGGGAATATCTAAAAAAGACCTCATCGTAATTAATATTTTCTCGTGTGGACAGTATTAGTGAGAGATCCCCTTCTCCCATGAGGGTTGCAAACATACGGGGCCCCATATGTACCCGCGAATGCTATACTGACAAATAGGGACCCCGCAAAAGGTGGTGTAGGGTTGAGGGTTTATGATTTGAAGTCTTCCAGGATTAAACATATGACAAGAATGACAGCCTGTTGCAGGATGAAACCGTCGACGACAGAAAGGTTTTCACAAGAAAAGCTTCACTTGGAAATTACAATGCTAGACCTGGGGCTCATGCGATGGCCTATTCGACTGGTATACTGTTCACTGTTTGGGGGTTACTGTATGGACCTAAACGACTACCAACATAATTTCCAGGCCTATTCCAGGTACCCTATTCCATAATCATACAAGAAATCTAGGACCATGATTCTGGTAAGTATATGAGCTTCTACACTGTTCTATACTCTAGCTGTAGGAGTATTACAAGGAAATAATACTGGCAATCATATTTGCAACTGTTCAGGCCCCTAAACCCCAAACCTGAAACTGTGTCTTCGCTAAGCTGAAGATGGCTGAAGGGTGCCTGGAAAAGTATGGTAGGGGAGCCTGGAGACTTGGAATTATGTTGGGGTTTGGGGTTTAGGGTTTCTAGGCTTAAGTGCCTAGAATAGGATTTGGGGACTCCTGTGCTACATCTAATGGTCATAAGGATTGTCAGGGGAAAGTCTATATTTGCCTCAGATTTCAGATTCTATGCTCGCCCTTCAGGATGGCAATAGCATGGAATAATCAGGTTTAGGCGTTTACTAGGGTAGGCTGGGGGGCCCTATAAAAATCAAATTTCTATGACTTTATAAAGATTTTATAGGGATTGAATTGAGAGTAGTAGAGCTTAACCTACCCCTGTTTTGGGTTTCTCCATGTCATAGGGCCTGTACATGATTTTGCAACAGGATAGGTTTGCGGTACATGTGCGCCCCATATTACAGGGTTCTTGCGGTAAAGATGCTAAGGAAATGAAAAAGAATCTTTCGAGACCCCCCTTAAACCCTAAACCCTAAAACCCTATAGTCCCCCTGAAGTAGATAGAATATGGTTTTGGGTTTATTATAATAAGATCCCCATATATACCATATTCTATCTACTTAAGGGGGACTATAAATCGTGTGTTGAAGCAGTGGCCACGGGAGCGGCAGTAACTGGTACACGTAACGAAGACATTCATAATCTTGCTGGTGCCAGGGTCTAGGGTTTAAGGCGTGGGGGAGTGAATATAGGGACTATGATAAGGGTACCCTAAACCCTAAACCATCAAGGGCATTTTTGGAAGGATCCAGGTGCTTAAGCGGGCGTGGGGGAGTGAATATGGGACTGTTAGGGTACAAATCAAATCGGGATTATCTAGGGATTGTTATAAGGATCCACTACCCCACTCTCCCTTGAGCGCCAAAGTTAGTTGCCAGTAAATAGCAATGAACATGAGTTTAGTGCTCTGCTTGCCTGATGAAGGTGCTGGTGATGATCCGAAACACGGGAGTTTGCCAAAGTTGTTCCGTTTCAGAAAGGTCCTTGAGTCAAGGGTCCCATCATGCGAAACGACAGAGAGGTAGTTCCAACAATTGGGTCCCGTGGCAAGCCTATGATGCGACTTTTTTGGAAACCTCCATACAGATATCCTCGTTTGGCGCTTGTCAGTTTATACATGTCCTAGTGATTGCCGCATCATGGCTTGTAGGTTCTGCAGGGATCTTGCCAAGAGAGCTCCGAAATCCTGAGGCGCCAAGTATGGGTTTCTTGTCACCGGAGTTGCTGGGACACAGACGGGTATGTTATAAGAGGACTGTGGTAATCTCAACCCCCCAAAAACTCGGATCCTGTTTGAAAAGGACTTGGTCTTACTTTTTGGGTTGGGGCTGCCAAAGTCCTCTTGTCGGTCAATATAAACACCCTACATGGACCCACACACCGTCAAATTCTATGTCATTTTTCATGGTGTCTTTTCCGCACGACTTTCCATTGTTCAACCCCTAAATCCTCTATACCCCTATGAAGCCCATACATACAACTATATGTAGCCTAAGCCCAAACTCTCCAAAGTATCTTGCGACCCTTGTTGAAGAAGTGATAACTGCAGCTCGTTCTTCGCCAAACCCTAACCCTAAGCCTTCTGGACAACAGAAAACAGAGGCATTTTGAGGGAATTTCCAGAAGCAAAGTCTCAAAGTACATCTTGGAACTGACCCCCCGCCCGCTAATAAGTAGATAAGAGTAACACAGCTTCCAAATCTCCGGAACATTTTCAAACACTTCCCCACTGACTCGCGGGCTATTCTCATAGAAAACCAAGGTTGGCTCCAACACCAAAACTTCAGCTAGCCAGGTCCAAAAAAGTGGACGCTGACTTCCCTCCCAGCTGCAAAGCGGTTGCAAAAAACGGGACTCTCATAGGGGATTCTATGCTAGCTTGGGGAAGGGGTAACGTCAGACAAGCCCGACCCGTTCCCACTCCTGACCTGTTGAGGCCACTGATGCCCGAGGTTTTGCGGGGGAGTCGCCTACCGCGATTTGGCTGTGGGCAGAATGAGGAGGAGCAAAGGTAACATGTCTACGGGTGCTGATCTAGGGTCCAAGGTCTGGAACAGGATGGGCACGTAAGCTGAGAAGCGTCAACCATAGTAGCAGTGAGGTCAGAAACATGATCACTGACACTGGCAAGACCGCAGCAAACAACAGTAGTTTTTACTGATCTCGAGACTACGGATGAGCCGGACAAACTTCCCTGCTGGTTGTAATCAGGAGATCTTGGTAACCCGAAGTCGCAAAGAACCGACCCCATAAGATTCATATGATAGTCATGGGATCGTTTTGTTAGGGAGGGAGGGGGGGTGAGCGTTGGGGTTACCAAAACCCTGTTAC